GGAGACGCCGAGCGACTCGGTGATGGGGCTCGGCCGAGCGAGAGAGACGCAAAGAGGCACGGAATAACATCGGAGGGAAGAGGAACACAGATGGAAAAGCTTCAGTGCAAAATGGAGAGAGAACAGCTGATCACATGGTCACAGGGCGTAACAGTGCCAGGCCGCTTACGGCCCCCAAACCCCCCCCCCCCCAGTGCGGCCCGGGCTGAGGGCATCCGTTCACTCGGTAAACGTTGGACGGCACCGACACCACAGCTGGCGGCCGTGTCGGGCGAGACCATGACACGCGGCCTAGGGTGGTGCGAACCTCGCCAACGCATCGCTAATTTAATTACAAAAGTCACACGCATGGCACAGATGCTGTGATGCTTCCCCCCCAACATCGCGTTTCGTCCTCGGGAAGTGTTCAATTAGCGATGGCAACGTTATGTCCCGAGCCGCACGAACGGGATGACATCACGCAAGCACGGGCATGACATCATCGCCTTGGCCGGCAAAGCCCTTCAGTGCTGATTTTTATCGGAAATCAATCTGCCCCCGGTGTTATCCATGGCAATTCCGTAATGGCAACACAACTTGAAAAAAAAATCCGTTCAAATAATTATCTCATTATCTTCAAGAGAGATTTATCATGACCCCCACCCCACACCCCCATCACAAAATAGAGCAAACGCAGCAATATTTTTTAAATGATACGCACGAGTTACCACGTCACTTAGCATCCCCCCGGTTCCGATAGAGCAGTGGTTCTCAACCTTTGTTGGCGACTGCACCTTCCCCCCTTGTTGAATTGAATTTATTTTCAACCGAGTAGGACCACCCCTTGCCTGACCCAACATGGTTCTGAGAAATAAATGTACGAATAATGAACATCAATATGTTAACCATTTGTTCGTTTTGTGAGGTTACACTAAGTAACCGCAAACGAGTAATAAAAACGGACGCTTGCATTGCGCGACGCAATTCGTTCGCGCTCGCTGGTTACTCTTGGAAACCCACATTGTTGACGATCAATGAGTTAAGGTCTTCAATATAGTCCGAGGTTGCCATGGGATTTACATTTTATCGCAGTTATTTTATATTGGCAGATTCACACGTCATTACACACACCAATGACTCCCGCGGATTATACATTTTCACGTAAAATCGCTTTGTGTACACCCCCTGGGGGACATTGCCGGTTGAGAACCACTGCGGTGGGAGACGACAACGGGCAAACGGTGCGACGCAAACGGCCGCCGGCACGAGGCCCAAGGTGTGGCGACAGACGCGCGAGGCCGGCTGTGAAATTTCGGCGAGGGCCGGGAGGGACCCACCGAGTTTGGGTTGGAGGCGTTAGGCCATGGACGTCCGCCGCCGGGTCCCCTGCGAAGGAACACGGGGGAGGGGGAAGGAGGATTACCAAACGCGACCACAACCGGCGCCGTTCACCGCAATATATACACACAGCGATTGTCATTTGGTATTATTATATTAGCCGCTTGTGCACCCAGCAAAAGGTCTCACCGAGTCTCAACTCTTTTTCACGAGGGGGTGGGGGGGAAGGGGTGCGGGGCGATTGTTGTTGTTGCTGCTTGCCGTTGCTGTGCATGTAATCCAGATCAAGTAATTTGCAGGAAACCAGTGACATTGTGCGTGTGCGTTTTTTAGCAATGAGAGACCACCGGAGGGAACCCATGCAAAACAAGGAGAGGCAGCAGAGTCAGAAATGTAACCCAGGCTCTTCCTGCAGTGAGGCACGAGCGTTGCCACTGCGTCGTCACCCGGCGATGATATACGATACGATGAAGAAAACTGTATCCGCCCGTAATGCGAAATTCTTTGATATTTGATTATTATAATTTTCAAAAATTTTATTGTCTGAACAAAAAGGTTCTAAGAAAACTTGAGATTAAAGTTGTAAATAAACTCGCGCTATACCCGTTAAAATAGCGCTGTGCCAAAAGTTCGACGGACTAATTAGAGACATGCCAGTCACGTGACAACACCACATTTAAACTTAGATCAGCGTGATACGAGAGGACGGTTTTCGTACAATACGAGGTCACGACGCCTCATTGCCGAAATTAGTTTTTCCTTTGGTCATTGAGGTGACACCCCCTCCGGTCACTGACTCTCTATTCCCAGTCACTAGAGCTCTCACCCTGGTTACACAAAACACACTTGACCACAGTACTGTATTGTCACAATCATAATCACAGCTGTTCAACAAAAAAATATATAAAATATATATTGCGGAAGTATTTAGGAAACAAACACAAATTACATAACAGTTATAGGGATTTAGCCCACTCTGCTAAACGCTTTCAAACTGAAGTTGGCAAAATGGCGGTTGCATGACATCACAGTTTCCGCAGTTCATTCGGTTAATTATTCATGCGTGGCTTGGGTTGCATCATAAAACATGGCAGGATGTAACGCCACAACCGTTAAGAAGGCTCGTTGGCAGCCTCATGTCGAGTGAACTGCAGTGGAAGAACTTTTAATTGAGTCTTTTATTCGCACTGGGGAGTACAGCAAAGCGCAATATACACAGTGCAATAAAAATGCAATGTACACTTACGACAAATTATATCACGTCGCAGCTGTCCCCGCGTGCCACAAGGTTTGAAGCAGCTACCGGCCAGCAATTGGGCAATTAGTCCGTCAATAGAGAGCAATGCATCCAAGCGGTTTCACCCAATTAAGTAATTGGCGAGCGATTGATCAAATTTGGCAGATTTCGACCGTGACGCCGTCAACACGAATCCTACTCCGTTTCTAATAACGTCACGGGATCTTTCACGTGCACTATTGCCCGAAGGGACAGCTGCCATCGGTGGGTCCTTAAGGCTAAAACAGCAGCGTGCTACGAGACACTTGCTACGTCGTGGACGTAAAATGCAAGTTTGTTGTTGCCGTTTAAGCAGACGTCGCGTATTTACGGATAACGCAGCCGTACACCTGTAAGTGCGCGGAGCAGCGTGAATGGGGGGGGGGGGGGGGGGAAAGGGTGGAGAATGGGGAAGGGGGGGGGGGAAGAGGGGGGTGTTGGGGGGAAGGGGGAGGTGTGGGGGTAGGGGGAATGGGGTGCAGTTGGGGGAAGAGGGGGCTGGTGGGGGGGGTGCATCGGCCTTACATGCTGACTCCAGGCATCGCGGGGCCCCCTAGCGGAGTGTGTGGGGGCCGCACTCCCCCGTAGCTTTGCATGGGGAACCACGGTTCTGCCTGCACGGACACACACCAGGACACACCAGGACGCACGTTTTAGCGGCAACCAAATCACCTTAGTGCGTCGGAGCGCAGAAGCTAAGCAGGGTTAAGGTTGGTTAGTACTTGGATGGGTGACCACCAGGTCTTGCCAGGTGTTGTAGGCGTGGGGCTGCGAGGTGGCCAGGAGATGGCCGTGCTGAGTGTCCCCCGCGTATGGGTGGTGGTGGTGGTGGTGCTGGTGGGTTTTCTCCGAGTTCCTCCCGCACGCCAAACACTCATTAAAGGAATTGGGCAAACATCGCGCTGAAGCAGGACCCTCCTGAAAAAAAGAGTCTTGAGACTCAGTGAGGCTGTCCATGGGGTAAATGATTGCCATCGTTCATGACAGGGCCCACAGAGGGCACGAACCCCACCCCCCCCAACCCAGCTCCTCCGATTGGAACACCGCCACTTGTTCCAGAAGGCAAATACCAACCCAACAGCTCTCACGCACACACTGAGATTCCTACAGTGAAGATGAACCAAACCAATGCTGGGATCTTACCTACAGAACTAATTATACAGCCTAGAGTTCAAACCTAGGTGGAGTAATCAAGCATTAAAATAATACGGATTCAGTCAATTATTCTTTCCCCAGCATTACGCTGCCCGTGTCATGTGATGAGACAAAAGGTCTGCGAAAACCTCTCGCAGTGCAACCCCCCTTCGTATTTACAGAGAACGGCACCCACGGAAGCGGATGTCACAGAGCTACCGCCGAGATCCCGTCACGTGACCTCTGCTACACATCGTAGAGGGGGCTGCACTTTGCCACCTGCTCTGCCATGGAGAGTAACGTTCGTCGTGCGATGGGCATACTGCGATTTTTTTTTTAATTAGCAAGAGTTGGCATTTGTCCTGAATCAAGTGCAGAACCAAATTGAATAAAAAAAATTTTGGGGGGGGGTATTTTCTTGCAGTCATAGGTGACGAGGCTAACCTAGAGAGATCAATGCTAGGGGGTGTAATGATGCCTTTGTTCATCGATTCATCGATCAATATATATAGTTTGAACATTTATGCAAATTGCACGCAGTGTTATAAATACGATCCGCATAATTATGGCAAGGAGGTGTACAGAAGCATGAGAATTGAGGAAAAACGTTCACGATACAAGGGAGGCAGAAAAAAAACAAAAAAATCATCGATGCCCGATTGCAATTGCGGTCCTCGATCGCGACAATCCATCAAATCATCACAGCCCCAGCGAGTACAAAACAAAAATCCCTCTGTAGATTGAACTCGGTCCGCTGGGTTCGTAGCGCAACGCACTAACCAGAACACTACCGCTCCCCACTAACGGATACACACACACATGTGCGTGCGTCCATAACAGTCGCGCCGAGAGAACAGGCAATTCCTAGGAGTTGTGTAAAATGAGAATTGGGCGAGGGGGTCTTTAGCGGCGACGCAACACACGCCTGTCGCTGCAACTCGATTCAACACGAATGCGGGCCACAATGGAATCTTTTCGATAAAAAAAATTACTCGAATTGAAATATTCCATCTTGATTCGAAGCTTTCGTGACTGCAGGAACCCATACTCTGGTTCTTTCGGTAAAGTCACGTAGGTAGAGAATGAAATCAAATAAATCACGACGTTTCGGGCGCAACACAAGCGTCCATCATCAGGTGGGAAAGCATATTTTGATCTCGATCGATTGGCCAATGGCTTTCTGAGATTTTACTTTCATTGGTGGCAATTAAAGTGGCAGCGCACGAAGAGCGCGATGATAAAAGAAAACTGTCGCGTTACTTCAAAGCAACAATGGAAACCGATCGCCGGCGCTGTTGCATCACCTGAGGTCCCATGGGCGCCATCCCCCGCGGAGGAGTCATCCTCTGGATAGGGCCCATCCCAGCATGCCCTGCTTCCACAACACGTATGTGGGGGGGGGAGGGAGGGCAGCAGTCGTGAAAATCGAGCATGCGCCTCGAATGGATGAATGAATGGGGACAACATCAGCCAAGTCCAGTGTCTTGAGATGACGGTCACATGTAAATCCACATCGTATTGTGACTACATGCATGTATGTTGAATTTATTCGCACCGTACGTAGCCAACCATGCTAATAGGAGATGCGGGGTTGATTGTAGGGTTGATGGTGATGAGATTTTGTATGGCCAAGGGCAACGATTACAGATTCAGTTCTAAGTGATTTCACCACTCAGCTGCTTTAATACGTAGCAATAATAATAATAATACTGATATTTATAATTGGGTCACTGATGCTAATAGCATCCCATAATGCTGTACATTAATTACATATAAGGACCAAACCCCAATACACAGCCACTACCAAGCAAATGAAAACCACTACTGCTACCAAGAAAAAAAAAACTGAATAAGTAAATTAAGAAAAAAATCAGAAAAACGTTAGCGCAACAAATAAATTTGACCATGAGGTTACATCCGCCTCCAAATATATGCTTGGTCACGGGGGGGGAAACTCACCGGGCTGGCGAGTCGGGTCCATGGTGCTGGGCATGAGCGGCTGTGGCCCCGGCATTCCACCCATGCCTGAGCGGAGCGAGGCAAACACAGACGCAGCAGAGAGCGGCCACACAACGGATACCCGTCAAACAGGGGCACAGCACCACCCTCGGTGACAAGCGCGGTGCACGAGCCGCAAGTGGGAGGATTGTGGCGTGCGTGGTGTGCTTGGGGTGTATGTGTGGTGTGTGTGTGGAGTGTTCGTGGTATGTGTGGTGTGTGTGTGGTTTCATATGGATGTGTGTGTGGTTTCATATGGATGTGTGCGTGCGAATTTGATTGGTGTGTTGTGCGGCTTGTATAATGTTGTCAATGTATTGCTCCGTGTATTGCATTTTGTGTGTGGTTGTGCCGTGTGTGTGTGTGCCATGTGTGTGAGATCCTGCCATGTGTGTGTGCGCGCAATTTGTGCCGTGTGCGTGTGTGGTTGTGCCGTGTGCGTGGTTGTGCTGTGTTGTGTGTGGCTCCCTCGTGTGTGTAGTAGTGTCATGTTGTGTGGTCGCGTGGTGTGTGGCTGTGTGTGGATGCATTGCGGTTGTACGTGCAACACAGCTCTGTGGTTGCGTGTCTGTGCTGTGGTTGTGTGGTAGCGCCGTGGGGTTCTGTCGCGGTGCGTCACCTGTCCGGGCATGCGGTGAGGTCCCCGTGGGCCCCCGGGGAAGCGCGGAGACATGAACGCCTGCAGCGGAAGAGACATCATAGCAAGCGGACAGCATCCCCATCAGCTCCACCCACGTCCCCCCCCCACCCGTACTCAGCCCAACTAGTGCCGGCACGATTCATCGATTATACAGATTATCTTTCATTGTCGATTAATCAAGATGGCCGCGGGGGCTTGGATGTCAGAGCGCCGAGTTGGCACCGATGAGATCCTGGGTTTGAACCGGGGTTTCAGCCGCCCGTGGTTAAACCAAATTTTTCCGTGTAGCGAGTCAACAATCTCTGCCCGTTCACCAACGACCGAAAAAAAAGAGGCCCATCATGCAAAATATGGTTCCGCGCTTAATTGGGCTAAATTTGAGACGTCGGTTTCAATGTCACGCGGTTCCAATCATGCGTGGCAATATTTTCAGGAGCCAAATGCCAACGTCGAGGTCTACTCGCCACGACGAGCTGGCGGCTTCAGGAGAGAGTTGGTGCAGTTTTGCTATTCTCTGTTGAAGCAGCACAGACTGCTGTATGGTCCATAGTTGGAGTTGCATGGCCACAATCACACTTCTGTGGCTTGTGTTTAATTGTCCATTCACGACATTGTCATGCAATGAACATTGTGGCAGGGCGGGTGGGAAAGTGGGCCGAGAAAATTAAGTAATGCCACCGTCACACCTGGTTAAAATTTACATTGATGGTGAAGAGGACCACAATGCACTTCTTTGGGAAAGGCCAAGCACTTTTAAATCAGGGAAGAAATTAAAACCCGCGATTAAACACACGAATAGAGGTCTCGCGTGCTGACATTGTTTCCATTTCCACAAATAAACGCAAACTAATTGCGAAGTTTAATCCATAGCATGGAAGCCACATTCTATAGGCGAATCGATTATTTAATTAGTCAGTCATTGCAGCCGTACGCGTAATACTACCCGAGTGTGTGTGTGTGTGCGCGCGCGTTCACGTACCTGTGCATGCGGACCCATCATTCCAGGCCCTGGTGGGGGTTGTGGGTGAGGGGAATGCTGGGAGCCAGGAGGACCCTGAAAAAAGCACAAAGGTCCCCCATATAGCCTAAACAGACCTCTAGGACAAGTGCTGTTATAGCGAGCAGCACCCATTAAGGGTGGCACGGCACACGACGGAACGGTGTTGCCAGCACCACGCCCGGCCGCCTCTCGTTTCCCGAGAGTTGAGGTTCACAATTCTGCTCGCTCTCCCGATAACCCGTGAGCGGTTTATCCGTGCCGTGGATTAATTATTGGCGCTGGCAGAAAAACATCTTGGAAGTGCACAGGGGTTTAATTAGCTGCTCCTCACTCGTTGCGGATGGGTGACCAGAGTGCCCACGCCTTTTGTGTTTTTGTTTGTTGTCCTTCCCCGCACCTCCGATTAGCACGGTTGGGTACGTACGGCGCAAAAGAAATTCAACATCCATATACACTCACCTACACGTCGGTCGGGAAGCAAACGGACAGCGAACTCTACCAATGTACGTGGCATTTTCCACCGTCCGTAATTTTTTTTCTGGGTCATCCCTCGCCACTCCCCCCCCCCATTGTACCTCGGATAATAGTGAAGTGACCGCATCCACACCCATGGCATGGAACGATGCACATCCAAATTGGCCGTGTAAGAATGAATTGTTCAAGTTTAAGCGAAACCACTGAGGCAAGCAAAGCTGTTACATGAGACAGATCGACAAGAAACGCTCAGAATGAGTCGGTTTTACACAAAACGAGATAAAAAAAGACTCTTAAATCGTGACGTGGCATCGCAGCTATAAACAAGTTGAGAATTAATTCACTCAACTGCGGTGGTTAGCGGGGGTAACGTTGCGTTTGCCCATTACACAAGAATACAATAACGGACAACAACAAAAGGAAGCCATTCACCACTCAGCGGCGATGACGTCGACCACAGGCACTTGGTGCAAGGCGAGGTGCACTACCGAGCACCACGTACCGGCAACACCATCGACCAAACACCGCGCCGCAATACGGCACAATCCAACGTCACGATTCACGGCAAATATTTTCTAAATGACACCGAACCAAAACAGTTTTTTTTCTTTAATCTGCCACAATTGACAGGCGGCAACCTCTCGACCATAGACATGACCCCCACCCTGACCGGTCTGCCACCCCCCCCCCACCTCCCTCTAACGACCCCCATTTTCCTGCACGGCGTGTACTCGTGCAAGCTGCATTTGCCAATGGAGTGGGGGGGGATGGTGCCCTTCGAGGTTGCGGTTTGGAGCAGCAGGGGTGGGATGGAGGGGGAGGGGAGGGAGCAGGGGGCCGATGATTTTTTTCCCGGGGAGCAAGCAGCGAGCTCGAGCGCAGAGTGCCCCCGTCGTCGTCAGTGACGCAATCACTTCCTGCATTAGCCTGGAGCCCCGAGGGAGCGATCTCCGCCCATGTTTGGTCAAAAAAAAAATCCACAACGCGCCTACACCAACCACCTCCTCCCTGCGCTACGACCATCACACCGCCTCCCCACCACAACCGCCTCCACCACCACAACCGCCTCCACCACCACAACCGCCTCCACCACCACAACCGCCTTCACCACCACAACCACCACCTCCCTGCGCCTATGACACACCACAACCGCCTCCATCACCACAACGCCTCCACCACCACAACCGCCTCCACAAACACAACCACCACCTCCCTGGACTACGACCACCAACGCCGCTGCTACCACAACCGCCTCCACCACCACGCTGCCTCCCTGCGCTATGACCACCATCACCACCACCACCTCCCTGCGCAACGACAACCACCACCGCAGCCGTCGCCACTACAAAAGCCTCTACCACCACCCACAACTGCCTCCACCACCACCCACCACCGCCGCTGCCGCCTCCCTGCGCTACAAACCACTCCACTCCACCTTGCCGCTCGGACACCCACATCCCCTCGTTCGCCTGAAATACATTTCCTGAGTTGCATGCAAAGGAACAAATAACCATTCGAGCAGTCCTGGAGAATATACCTAGATAAGTAAGCAGAAGAAAACATGCCCTCCTTCAATCGTTACCCGCCCCTTCGCAGAACTAAATATATATTTACACATCCCGTCAACCAAACGGTATTCTGGTAGTGAAAATTTTCCGCTGAATTGGCTCAACACAAAGTCCAAAGACTTGCATGTCAACCCTACGACTCGGTGGGATACACTTTACATGAGCCATGTGACCCATAAACTGGAATAGAGACCCATAGACTTGAATAGAAACCCAGAGACGTTGGAAGACGCCTGGAGGACTCCATTCTAAAAGCAAAAAAGTCCATTTCTCTTTGATAGGGTCAGCAGCTCACGATCCTTTCTCTATTTGCTTGCATCCCACGCTTCCTCTCTCGTCACGTCCACTACCCTCAATCCACTGCTGGACGACGGCTTCCCCACGTTTGCGCGGGGTCGTGGGTCGCGGGGGGTTTTGGGGGGAGTGGGGGGAGACTCGACCATACTTCGCCACGCCGGTCAGCGCGGGTTTGGGTGAAGGCGAGGCAGCGTAGACAAGGCAGCGTAGACAAGGCAGCGTAGAACTAGGCAGCGTAGACAAGGCAGCGTAGAACTAGGCAGCGTAGACAAGGCAGCGTAGAACAAGGCAACGTAGAACTAGGCAGCGTAGAACTAGGCAGCGTAGACAAGGCAGCGTAGAACTAGGCAGCGTAGACAAGGCAGCGTAGAACTAGGCAGCGTAGAACTAGGCAGCGTAGAACTAGGCAGCGTAGAACAAGGCAACGTAGAACTAGGCAGCGTAGAACTAGGCAGCGTAGAACTAGGCAGCGTAGAACAAGGCAACGTAGAACTAGGCAGCGTAGAACTAGGCAGCGTAGAACTAGGCAGCGTAGAACTAGGCAGCGTAGAACTAGGCAGCGTAGACAAGGCAGCGTAGAACTAGGCAACGTAGAACTAGGCAGCGTAGAACTAGGCAGCGTAGAACTAGGCAGCGTAGACAAGGCAGCGTAGAACTAGGCAGCGTAGAACTAGGCAGCGTAGAACTAGGCAGCGTAGAACTAGGCAGCGTAGACAAGGCAGCGTAGAACTAGGCAGCGTAGACAAGGCAACGTAGAACTAGGCAGCGTAGAACTAGGCAGCGTAGAACTAGGCAGCGTAGAACTAGGCAGCGTAGAACTAGGCAGCGTAGAACTAGGCAGCGTAGAACTAGGCAGCGTAGAACTAGGCAGCGTAGAACTAGGCAGCGTAGAACTAGGCAGCGTAGAACTAGGCAGCGTAGACAAGGCAGCGTAGAACTAGGCAGCGTAGAACTAGGCAGCGTAGACAAGGCAGCGTAGAACTAGGCAGCGTAGAACTAGGCAGCGTAGAACTAGGCAGCGTAGAACTAGGCAGCGTAGAACTAGGCAGCGTAGAACTAGGCAGCGTAGAACTAGGCAACGTAGAACTAGGCAACGTAGAACTAGGCAGCGTAGAACTAGGCAGCGTAGAACTAGGCAGCGTAGAACTAGGCAGCGTAGACAAGGCAGCGTAGAACTAGGCAGCGTAGACAAGGCAGCGTAGAACTAGGCAGCGTAGAACTAGGCAGCGTAGAACTAGGCAGCGTAGAACTAGGCAGCGTAGAACTAGGCAGCGTAGAACTAGGCAGCGTAGAACTAGGCAGCGTAGAACTAGGCAGCGTAGACAAGGCAGCGTAGAACTAGGCAGCGTAGAACTAGGCAGCGTAGACAAGGCAGCGTAGAACTAGGCAGCGTAGAACTAGGCAGCGTAGAACTAGGCAGCGTAGAACTAGGCAGCGTAGAACTAGGCAGCGTAGAACTAGGCAGCGTAGAACTAGGCAACGTAGAACTAGGCAACGTAGAACTAGGCAGCGTAGAACTAGGCAGCGTAGAACTAGGCAGCGTAGAACTAGGCAGCGTAGAACTAGGCAGCGTAGAACTAGGCAGCGTAGACAAGGCAGCGTAGAACTAGGCAGCGTAGAACTAGGCAGCGTAGAACTAGGCAGCGTAGAACTAGGCAGCGTAGACAAGGCAGCGTAGAACTAGGCAGCGTAGAACTAGGCAGCGTAGAACTAGGCAGCGTAGAACTAGGCAGCGTAGACAAGGCAGCGTAGAACTAGGCAGCGTAGAACTAGGCAGCGTAGAACTAGGCAGCGTAGACAAGGCAGCGTAGAACTAGGCAGCGTAGAACTAGGCAGCGTAGAACTAGGCAGCGTAGAACTAGGCAGCGTAGAACTAGGCAGCGTAGAACTAGGCAGCGTAGAACTAGGCAGCGTAGAACTAGGCAGCGTAAGACAAGGCAGCGTAGAACTAGGCAGCGTAGAACTAGGCAGCGTAGAACTAGGCAGCGCAGAACTAGGGCGCAAGGACGGCTCTTGCCGCCCAGCACGTCGCCCCAAGGAGCCCAACAACGAGAACCCTGCTTGGTGCACGGCAGCCGCCTCATCCAAGCACGATCCAGGCTCGGCGTTCTGCTCGGCTTGAGACCCGACGGGACCGGGGCGCGTCGCCGGGGAGGTTTGGCCACGGGGCGACGCTCGAGCCAAAAAAAAAAACCGCGCGGACGTCAACGCTCGCTCGCGCGCTTTTCTCGCCGTTACAATTTCGGCGCTGGCACCAAATCTTGATCATCGGCGATTGCGACCGCAAGGCCACCGTGCCCCCACTCCTGCGTGTGGGTGTGCGGCAAGCCACACGCTCACAGCCTGGTCACTCGCAGCAATGCACTCGCCCTCCCTTCCCACCCTCCACCCCCGCCGCCACCACCAACCGATAACCCCCCCCCCGATCCGAGGTCTTTGGAAAATGTAAAAACAAACAGGAAGTGTTGCGTTCCACCAGCAGAGCAAACCCTAAATACGGGGCCATTAGTGGCACTCAACATCCTGCCCGAGTATTAGAGGACGCCCCTACCGCGATTGGAGACTCGGGGCCTCTACGCCTGGTAATTAAGGGTGGAGTTATCTATTGTTACCATACTTAAACCATGCTGGTGAATGTGGTTTGGGTGGGAGGGGGGGGGGCATAGAAGCACGGTACAACAACAGATTTCGCTGCACTTGCGTCCAAGCCGAGCATCACGTAGCACAGCCACCACCTACGTTATTCTTGCGCGCGCAGTGGTCGCCACAATCACGAGCTCACCAGGCTCGACAACGCTTAGCTTTCGAGAGCCGGCAGAATCGGATCGGGCGCGTCCCGGGGTGATTCGGCCATCGCTGCGATGCGCCACGCTCCATCGTCGACGCTCCCCGCCTTCGCCAAACCCACGCTGGACCAGCGCGGTGAGGAATGCCGCTGGTACATTAACCGCGACACACGCTGCCTGCTTCAGGGCAGGCGGACGTACAAAAGCCCCATGGCGTCTTAAGCAAGAGCAGGCCATCGAGTGCCGGCGTCGTGGTCAACGCTTTGCCAAATTCGGAAACGGCACCGCCGGGCACCATTTCTTCAAGGCAGCCCCCCCTCTGCCTATATGGAAAGTCACCACGCTTGCACATTCGCAGCATTCAAATCTACACCGACTTTTAATAGCCCACTTCTTCCTTAAAGGGCCCTTCCCCCACTTCTTTCGCCCGACTTCCCGGCGACACCGAGCTTGGCTCCCGCACCTCGGGGTCACGGTGAAATAGCCGCCCGCCCCCCCCGCCGCCCACCCCCACGCGATGCGTGGAGGCCCACATCCAGCAGTGGATGGGTACCGCTGGCACGATTGGCTTCGTGCTCATCACAGAAAAAACCCACGGCGGTTCTCACGCGCCGCGTTTCAACGCGCCCGCCCGTCAGGCGCAAGGATCACCATTCGTCGACACGGATCGCCGTTTATATTTTTTGGACTGTAACCCAATTCTTGCACCTCACTCGCGGACAACTGTAAGCCCTGTACGAGACGTAAATTACCGTCGTTAAGGAACAGAATCGAATTGAGAAAAACAAATAATAATTCACTCGTACCCACCCCCCTTCCCCGTAATCTGCGAATATCCTCGGTGTGCAGAAGGGCAGGTGACTCACCTGGTAGAATCCTGGGGGAATTCCATCTCCCGGCGGGAGATTTCCCAGAACGGGGCTTGCGGCAGCTGCTGCCGTCTGGAAACGACAGTGCACGTACGGAAACAGTTGGCGTCGATCCGGGCGACGCTGTGCACGTGTATACAGCATCCATACTCATCCTCCAACTGCTGGCTTCATTCAGGGGTGGTTCCCCGCTAAATCGCTTCTCTTAACAAAACCCATTTATTTCAACTCCGATAGAAATTTGGCGAATTCACAGGCTGTTATTTCCATTGCTTTATATACCAGCACGTTTCTTCTCTCCGTGACGAGTCTATGGGTCTCTGCGCAAGTCTGTTTGGATCTCTATGCGAGTCCACGGGTCTCTGCGTGATTCTGTGCGCCTCTGTGCGAGTCTATGGGTCTTGGTGCAAGTCTCCGTAGCCCTTCCCATTGCATCTCCTTGGCTCCAATCCTCAATACGGTGGACACGGGGGGGCGGTGACGCGACCCACAGGTAGTGCGCGTTCACCAATTGTAGCAAGAGGTTCATGATTCGAAACCGGCGGGCGCCCCCCCCCCCCAATCTTTAACACGCGAGTGCGCAATAAACGTAGCCGTCGCGACAACAATACGACGCGCCGAAGCCGCTGTTGGCCGCTTTTCGGTGGACGTTAAAAAGACCCAGTGGCGTCATTTGCCACCGTTTAGCCGTTGCGTGCCGGAGTCATCGGTGCAAATGTGACGTATCACCACCCGCAATGAGTGTCAATCAACTGGAAATGCGCGTAACGACAATTTGGCGCGACAAGTTTAGCACAGAGATACACACACCGTGTCAACCCATACAGTTTACCCCGTATTCTTGTACAGGGAAAATTAGTTCAGGTCCATACGGCGTACAGCCGTTTCAATACGGACTTTTTTTGTTTGTTTT